ATCTATCAAGTAAGTGTTTTAAGTGTGTATCAAAGAAAAACCTATTCAGCAAAAGTTCCTAATTTGACAGGTAACATAATTTATGGTAACACCAGTCTCGCCCTCAACCGGGTGTTGACTCGTCACTCAAGGTGTTAGCAATTAAGAGTAAGATACGAGTTCTTGTAACCTTTAATTTAATTTTTACCTTCCTTATTATTTATATTTTCTTAACTTTAATACGATTAAGTTTGAATTATGAACGCTTTGTGGTGGTGCGCGGGTGCTTTTGGAGTTTTTGCTACCTGTCGCTCCTCAAACTGTCCAACTGCATGACGTCAGAAAACTTTGCGCATCATGGGGGATTAGCTCAAATGGTAGAGCGCTCGCTTAGCATGCGAGAGGTAGCGGGATCGATGCCCGCATCCTCCAAATCCTTTAGCTTTATTAAAACAAGTGTAAGAAGTCAGTGAAGATCTTCAGTCATCCAGGTCATGGTAATCATAAATGCTATTTCATAGGCAAACTGGACTTGCTTGAGTTTCTTGAAGACGTTTCGCCTCTCGTCCAAGAAGCTTCTTCAGTTCTAAATGACTGGTAAAGTCACAGGCTGTGTGGGTGTAAACCTTTACAGAGTCACTGAGGTCACATGTGAGCTCTTAATTTCAGAGTCCTTAAGGTCACAATGTGAGCTGTTGATCCACCTGGCCACCATGTGAGTCTTGAGTCTGAGGGTCACATGGGTCCAGGTGAGAATGGGTGTGAAGTTGTCTGGGGATGGATCCCAAGACTGCATTGTAGGGTGATAAGTGGTGCCGTAGGCCACTTCCTCTGTTTAACGATGGTTGTTCCAGTTTGAGGTAGATGGCTTCTTTCACGCCTCTTTCAAACCATCTTTCCTCTCTGGCCAAGATGTGCACATTGCTGTCCTCAAAATGTTATGACAGTACTGTTAATAAACCACATACTGCTGTAATCTGAAACATTTCCCCAAACATGAATAAATAGGAGCTGAAAAGATTCATTGCAGTCAGTTGACAGATAATTCATCTGCAACAATTGTGATGGAATAATCATTTAAGTAATTTTGTAGCAAAAATGCCTGAAACTTCTTTTGTTAGAAATTCTCAAATGATTTATTTTATCTCGTTTTGTTTATACAGTTGTAAACTAAATATTTTGGGGTTTTGGATGGTATCTGACTGCGTGGATTCAAAGTAATTTCGTGGGGGTTGTGACTCAATATAAAATTACCTACTGATTTACAGACTTCTCTTTTATGATGTAAGTCTATGGGAAAAAGTCTTTTTGGGCACCGTGATATCACATGACAGACACGGAAGTTGTAACTCCACATTTGGCCACCACAAAAATCAGCTTCAAAGCCCTGCAGTACAGGTCATAAACCCAACCCCTCTATGTTAGCAGATTGGACATGGCTCTGTCTCTTTTTATGAAACATTTTGAATGACTAATGTCTTACTTTGTAATGTAAATGATTTATAATAAAGATTTCAACCACACTGGTTGGTTTATCTGTTTCTCTCAGGTCAAGTCTCGCATCCAAAGTGGAAATCTGCAGTTCCATGACAACATTGCAACTCTATCTGCTGCTGCTGACAAGTGGTTTGATGAGAAGCTCCAGAACAGAAAATAAATGGACCTTGTGGTGGCTGTTTTGTCAGCTCCTGTTTCCAAACTCAACAATAAACTTTGAACCTCAAGAATCTATGTTGTATTTTAGTTTTGGCACAGATGTCTGAAACATTGAATTGAGTTAACATTTTGATAGATTTTCCAACAATAGACAACCAACAGCGAATTATTCGGCACAGCAGTGTTACAGATTTCTGCCAGGATGTTAGGTCACAGGAAGCTGTAACATTGTTTATGAAAAGTTCATGAATAAGACACAAAAATACAGCTTACTAAATGGTAAAAGCAGGACCCCTCAGCTGTTTTTATGTCATTTATTTCACTGCAATTTTAGTATATGCACCACTAAAGTATTGTAGTAAAGTACAATATAAACTAAAGCAGGTCCAATATTAGGTAATGTCTTTCTTGACTTTAATGAATTCTGATACCTTTATTGTTTTACATTATGTGTGTACAGTACAATTAAATTACCAAAAAGTAACCCACACATAGAAAACATGGTGATTGCTTGTTTTATTCCAACATAGGGGTTGATTTTAGGGTAACTAGAGTATGATGAAGCTACCACATGTAGTCTAATGTGTGTCTGTAGGAACGTGGAGGATTGTACAGACAGGCAACATCACATTGTTTTGCACCAGGACCCCAACTAACAAGTTCATCTGGCTTTGCTTTCGTAACAATAATGTACTCCTGCACTCTGATAGGGGGCATGAGGCTGCACGACAACAAATGGTCCCGTAACACCATATACCCACTGTTACTACAACTACAGTTAATGTTTTGAAATATGCGCACCTGCCTGGCTTCAAATTTTTTTTGACCTCAGCCCCTTCGATAGCTCAGTTGGTAGAGCGGAGGACTGTAGAGTTGATACATAAGACATCCTTAGGTCGCTGGTTCAAATCCGGCTCGAAGGAGGTAACTTTTTCATCGTCTATCACACGCTGAACGACCACCGGAACTATCAGCGGGGCAACATTAGCTAAGCTAACAAGCTAACACCTTAACTGTGCTGCTAGCTAGCTTGACAACCTGTGCAAAGTAAGCTAGCTTGTTGGTTCAACTGTTCATGAGAGGTAAGTTGAAAATGATATTTGTTCTGTTACTACAGCAATGGCTCTTGTATATTTTGGTACCATCTATCAAGTAAGTGTTTTAAGTGTGTATCAAAGAAAAACCTATTCAGCAAAAGTTCCTAATTTGACAGGTAACATAATTTATGGTAACACCAGTCTCGCCCTCAACCGGGTGTTGACTCGTCACTCAAGGTGTTAGCAATTAAGAGTAAGATACGAGTTCTTGTAACCTTTAATTTAATTTTTACCTTCCTTACCTAACGTTATTTATATTTTCTTAACTTTAATACGATTAAGTTTAAATTATAAACGCTTTTGGAGTTTTTGCTACCTGTCACTCCTCAAACTGTCCAACTGCGTGACGTCAGAAAAGTGGCTCTAGCATGGGGGATTAGCTCAAATGGTAGAGCGCTCGCTTAGCATGCGAGAGGTAGCGGGATCGATGCCCGCATCCTCCAAATCCTTTTATTTATTTATTTTTTTTAAAAAGCGGACAATCTTCTACCTCAGTGTGTTACTGGGTTTACAGTGCACAGGGATGTGGTGTTTGATGAAGACCCTCCTGAGGTTCTCAGATACTCCTGTGACATAAGGAATGTCGATGTTGTTTAGTTTTTGTGTCTCTTCTTATCTCTGCCCGCTCTGGGTCTTACAGAGTTTTTTGCAAAGGCCCAGCTGGTGTAGCCACACACGTTTTAAGTGCTTCCCTGATGTGTTTCTGTTTCAGTCCACTGTCTGTTGAGAAAGGATGACACCTCCTCTGTCCAAATCTTTTGACCCGACCTTAACAGTTAAGCTTTACATAATAAAACAGGGGTTTACTAGTTAAATTAAGAGCAAACGGGTGAGTTAAACTGTGTGGACAAAACATAAAAGCAACATTTGGTAGTCCCCGGAAAATGAATGTTTATTTTGTGACGTCACGTCCACCATTCCTGAATGGGGGATTAGCTCAAATGGTAGAGCGCTCGCTTAGCATGCGAGAGGTAGCGGGATCGATGCCCGCATCCTCCAGAATACTTTTCTATTGAGCTCCATCACAATACGAACGTGTCAGGACACTGGTGTTGTGCTCGTCTGCCGAGACATGCATGCAGCTCACTTACGGCTAGCCATAACTATCGACATTGGAATTACTTTTATGGCAAAATCATGGTAAAAAATGATATGATCTGCTCTTTGTGGTTCATCAATTGTGATGAATGAACAGAGGTCTCGTTTATGAACGTTTTATTTTACTCAGTAGAGGCAATGTTAACATTTCCTTGATATGATTGGTCTAAATTTGCAAGGTTTCCCAGATTAATAAAACCTACAAAGTATAAAACAAATCTCGGCGGGTACAGATTCAGTTTTGCTGATGCACCCATCTAAAGTTTTTTTTCAGACACTTTGGGATCAAGCCGCCATTTTGTATTTTGTGCTGTCCATAACTGTGACTTTCATACATGTAAAACTCTCCTGGTTTGAGAAAGGAGGAAAATTCTCGGCAGGTAATCATGCAATATATCAAACAAATTGATCCATATATGCTCCGTATTTACGTATATAAGCTGACGTCAAAGATTGCGGTGCATCATGGGGGATTAGCTCAAATGGTAGAGCGCTCGCTTAGCATGCGAGAGGTAGCGGGATCGATGCCCGCATCCTCCAAAGCTTTTCCTCTTCACCTCAAAGATAAACACATTTTACTGAACATTAGAAAGAAACAGAAAACGGTACTGTTACAGCCTGAAATATAACACATGCATTTTGTATTGCATTTTGTTGTGCAATAGATTAACCTTTATGACCTAAAGAGATAGCAAAAGTGTAACTAATATGCTATTATTACTACCTTGTAACAAAACCCTGTAGACTGTCCTCGGAATAATTATGCCATGGCTCATAATGAAAATAAAGTTGTGTACTAACAAGATTTTAAAGAAAATAATTACAGTATTTAAAAACGGACCAAGGTAGTGCAAATATGCTAATCCTGGCCCAATATATAGTCTTGAACTATATGTATTTAGAGTAGACTAAATGGTGATTGTTTTTAATGAAGCCAGAGGTGAAACTGAAGAGATTAAGAAAAAAAAACAAACAATTGTGGACCAACAGTAACTTGCAGAGGAAAAAATATAAAATGGTATATTAAATTACAAATATTTATGTTTTTTTTTCATGTCTTAGTTAAAAAAAAAGTGGGGTGTGGGTGTTATCAAGACATCACACTGTCATTCCACCTTTAAAAAGCACAAAAGACAACACCCACATTTACTAATCCAGGACAGTATTCACTACATTCGCTCTTATCCTTTTCAGGACTGTTGATTTATTGTCATAAAACAATCATCTTGGTACAATGACACTGATTTTTAAACATTGGACAGCAGAAACATAACATCTTGGCAACTGAAATAAATGAACATAATAACAGAAATGAATTAAACTTTCGTTAGTTGACATGAAGTGAAATAACTTGACATTTTATTACACTTTTTAACATGCAAAGCACGACATGAACCTGGCTTATAACTCTCCTACAACCCAGTAAAGCACATTTTCTCCACATGTAGCAGACAGCAGATCCATACGGAGAGTCATTCAGTTACTGTCAAACAAACACACGTCTGTACCACAAGAGTCCCCAACAGTGTCCACATTAATAGACCTGCAGCATGATGTAGATGTGCTGATGTCACCACCTACTGGTGAGAAAATAAATCCTGGGATGAGCAGATTAGTGTTAAAATTGCAGTATGACTTTCCCTGCCTGCAGACAGAGCACAATAATCAGCACACATACATGTGCAGGTCTAAACTGATGCAGCTGTTACATATCTCATGTGCTGGTGGTGCAGGTAGAACTGAACTTAACAGAAAGCAAGAGATGTGTTTAAAAACAGTAAAATCTGCAGTGTCAAAGGTTAACAATGAACTTTTATGCTCTGCTGTAACTATAACGGCACTCTTGAGGGCCAAAAAAATATAATTTCCTTACAATTTTGATCATCTATTAAATGTTAAGTATTTTAAAATGTGAAGATTTATTTGGGTTTTTGACAGTTAGTTGGACAGGATAAGCAATCTCACTATGTCAGCTAGAATTTTAGGAGGTGTGAAATGTGGTAATGGTGTGAAAAACAATCGTTTGCGTAAATTTAGGGTTGCATCCAAGACTTAAAAAAAATCTTTCAGAACGTCAGTGATGCTGGAGTTGGATGATAGAGGCTGGTTTATGGTGCTTTACAAGACACTATAAGGGCTTGTCAATGAATAACAATAACTCTGAGTTTAATACTATGAATTGCATTGAATTAAATCTGACATGCAGAGAAATGAACACATAAAGAAAGTAAGCAGAAGGGTTTGCAGCCTTCAGATTCACCAACACTCATTTCATCACACATCAGCATCAGTGAAAGCAGTTCTGCTATTTGAGTGTTTCCCCCAAAATGATCCTCAGCATCGTTTTGTCCTGTGTTTCTTCTACAGTGTCGTCCCGTTGTGAAGAGGCCAGCCAGCTTGGTTTGGTTTGGAAGCAGCGTCTGAGCCAATCAGCTTGTGGAGCATGTCCCCCGGTGCTGTCTCTCATCGGCTCGCTTTCTGCTCCAAGTGTCCAAAAGCAAAAAGGTATCCATTTGTCTTTGTTTTGTTTTCAATGTCAGTGCAGAGTTAGAGCAAGCAGAAGCAGCAGGGGAGCATCCTGACAGCAGGTCTGAGTGGTGGAGGAGGATTCTGTCTGCTCGCTGCCTCGTGGTCACCTCTCACATGAAGTCGTCTGAATCATTACCATCCTGCAAACGACAGGCAGCGACACACAAGCGAATGTGGTGAATGTTAGGAGAGCTGGTGTCAAACACTTTTCTTTTACTGAATGAAGTGTTCTTTCTGCTTCATTCAGGCTGTTTATCTCTATAATAATAATAATAACTCTTTTTTTCACTTGGCACTGACACCAACATAAATCATAAAGTAGGGAAAAAACTTGACACTTTCTTTGAGTTTAAAACAAAATATAGATCAACAGATTTGACCTCACCGCATTAGTCGACATATTTTCACTCTTCATCAGTGTGCTGTAGCTCCTGGAGAGAGAAAGACAGTGATAATCAATTGAAAGGTTGAATAACAGAATGAGCAAACTATTTCCCATCACTAATACTGTCTTTTTTCTATCTGAAAACAATCTCATGGAAAAGAACAAACCAAAAAACACTTTAACATCAGATCTGCAGAAGCACCTGAGCTCCTCCTGTTCTTTTTTCCTCTTCTGCTCCTCCTTCTCCTTCCTCTTCTGTTCTTGGAGCTGAGCCTTCTTCTCGTTCCTCTCCTCTCGGTCTCTCGACTCTTTCTCTGCCGCTAGGTCGGGGTAGCGTTCTTCTTTTGTTTTCTCCAGGCGGTTTACAATCTCGTTGACCTTCTTCTCCACTGCCACGATCTTCACCTGTGAAACACAGCGAGACGTGACACACCTGAGCTGATCTATCAGTGACAGTAACACACTCGTGATGTGGGAAAAAGAGCACTTGATATTGGGCAACATAAATAAAACTGGCTCGACACTTCTCAGCAAACATGTTGTAACCCTGATATTGAGCAGGAAGTTGTGAATTTCTATTTGCTGCCTGTAATTTATGTAAGTATAAAAACGCAAAGTTAACACGAAGCGTTCGTCAGGTTTAATCTAATTTAGTTTCACACTCCCTTTATACCCATTTTTTACAGAGTTAAGTGTTTTTATTTCAGTGCTGGTTTACTGACCTCCTTCTGTCTAAAGAAGCCGATCTGTCCGACGTCCATGTCTCCCGTTTTCTTCAGGTTGGCCCATGGTGTGTAAACCACATTGATGTTGTTCATTTTACAGCCTGACAGCACACAACACAGTTTGATTTATACACAGAAATATGTGTCACTCATGGCACCCATTGCTTGTACCTGATGCCAGTCAATCTACAAATGACATGACGTTATCAGGTAGACGATCTTTACCTTGGATGCTGTTGTTTTTCACCAGCTGTGCGCAGTCTATCAGCACCTCAGGGGGAATATCATCTATTGTCTGACCCTAGAAAAGACGCAGAGCAATCAGCAGTGCCTCTGTGCATTAAAAGCATCGGCGTCCCACAGACTATTTGTTTGGTGGACAGTTGAACAGCGTCTGAAACCCCTGACCCGTCTGAGAATTTTGGTAACTTTCCAAAACTGAAAACCTGGCATTCCCACCCTTTTTAAGAAGTGATTGGTCAGTTGCGCAGAGTTCTCTTTCAGGCTCTTTTTCATTCATTACAATCCAGTTCCATGACTTTTTTCGTGCATATAAATGAATGCCCCTGAAAAATGCCCTGAATCAACAAGATCTGGTGCCCCAAAGGCAGCTCTGGAGAAAGTCTGCTGTGTTCAAGGGCTGAAATACACTCTTTACATCAAACTGAGCATCACTGTTGTTAAATCTGTGCTGCTTTGCACAAAGCAACATCGGCCAAAGATAAAGAAATCTTGAGTCTGTGAAAGTTAACTAAAGCTAATATGATTTGTACTGATGATAAAATTGTTAGATAGCCATTACTGCATTAAGACTGAACCAGAACTCAAACTGTAGATGCACTTGTATGTCATGTGTTGACTCCTCACCTTTGGCAGTCTCAGATAAACGTGAGCTGAAGACAGTTTGTCCACATGAAACCTGGACGTGGAACAAACAACAAGACATTAACTTATAATAATCATAGTGGTATTTCTGTTAATTTTGCTACAGATGATTAATTATTACAAGACAATATTTCTGACATGTTTTAAGCACTGTACGTGTTAAAGTCTCACCAGATGTCTTCAGGCCATCCGTACTTTATCAGATCCTCATCTGCAAAAACAACCTCAGCATCATTTATGGAACATGACAAATACTTCTTCAACAAAGTGACACAATATTCAGACAGACAGCTGAAGACAAAAACTATACAACGAGCAGCAACTGTGAAAAAGGGTGTGTTTGTGTTTGAGATTATCTTTGCTCCAAGATAACGAACTTACTTTCATATTTGTCTTTTCCCATGTAGATTGTGTAGTGAGGGTTCACCACTGAAAGACACACGATACATCGATAGTTACTGAGTGAAACAGCGATGTCAGCTGGCACAAAACACACAAAATCACTTAAAATGAAAATAAAGCTAAAACTATTGGCTAATCAGGCTACTAGCTAGCATTGCTGCTAACTCAGCTGTGGCTTCACTTACCGGCACTTGTGAAGTAAAACACCATTTTACATGAATTAAAACTAGCCACTAAAATATGAATATTATGTGTTAGTAGTTTGAAAGCTAACACAGCTAATTATGGATAAGAAGAATTATAATATAAGCTGTATTGCCGACTGATCGCTGCTGCTGTCACTTCTCGCATGTACGAGTTGACCCAGGAAGTTGTAAGCTAGCTGCGCTAAGCTACATGGAGTTAGCGTGCACTAGACAGGAAGTATCCACATTTGTTTCCAAAATAAAAGCTTGACATTTACAAACGTACCACCAAATATTTTTTCGTTTGTTGATATATTTTACTGTCACTGTTATGGACATCACTGCCTATATGCTGCCTAATGAAAACAATAATAAAAAAAATATGACAGACATATTGCACATTATGTCATTAAATAAGATGCAAAACATATGTTTCATAAGTCATCAAAACATACACAGAAGAGGAAAAACGTGGATGACAAAGCAGAAAAAGTAGTAAGTAAAATAATAATGATTATAATAGCAATATTAACTTTAATTGTATAAGGCAGCACTTTCAAAAACAAATTACAAAGGGCTTTCCAAAGTGCTTTATGAAAAGGTGATCTTTCAGATCAATTAAAAATAGTCATCTCTGTACTTTTTATCAAAAATGGTTGAAATCAAAGATGTTTATTTATATATGTAACATTAGAATTTCACGTGTCTATCATAGACGGCTGACTTCATTTCTATTTACTGGACAAGCACCTTTTATTTTGAAGGTAAGCACCAGAAGTCCCTCCGCGCCTTTACTGTGGTAGCTTGATTATGAAACATCGTGTTTCCGTTTCCGGTCTAGTCTGGTTGTGCAATTTTTTTTTATAGACTGGCGCGCGCTGTTCAAAAACACAGAGAAGAAACGCGGGCAGAGGCAGCAGTGACTTCAACTTTATACCGATATTTAGTTTTTTTTTTTTTACAGTACGACAGAAACGTGTCCGGTAAGATATATTGTACTTGTTTACGGTTGTGATTTCGGTGCTAGATATTTTAGTTGTTTCTCCCTTAAATGACGTATTTACGTAAAAGTAAGTTTATGTTACGAAGCCCATCAAACAACTGTCCGAAGATTACGTTTCTGTATTAGCTAACTGTTATAAGTTAAAACACGGACAGAAATTGGAACAAACACGTTGTTGTTGCTCGATATATCGACATGTTAGCTAACGGTAGTTTGTGTCGGAGCGTCTCCTTTTGTATCAGCTAGCTAATCATCCCGCCAATTATTTATTCATCTCCACTTTAGCTGTTAAATAAGCGCTTCAGTAGCTAACATGTAACGCAAAGCTAACCTAAGATAACGTCCGTGTCGAGATAAATCACATTTGTGCACAGACAAGATGAAATACGGGTTTGTTTAAGGTGTTAACACTAAATAGAAAGCGGTGATCAATATGCAAATCTAGCTACCAGTAACCCTGATGTTATTGACCTCGGCGGCCTCCAGACGCTTTACACACTGTGGCATTGAAAAAGCCAGTCCAAACTAATGTTGGAAAGCTGCCTATTACAAGTCAGGTGCACTAAAATGACCTACAGGTGTCCTACGACCTTTTACTGCCACCAGTAGAAAGCTTTGTGACACTGCTAATGGCGGCTGCAGTAACGTTACGTCTACTTTCATCAGTGTTTATAAAGAAATCAAACAGTGACGATGTAGAAATTAGTTGTTTTTTTTTTTTAACATAGTCTGCATGGTGGAGTGTTGTATTTACACGACACATCCTGGCAACACGTCCAGTGATCATTAAAATAAAGGGCACTAAGAATATTATGGTAATGGTTATTTGTTGCCTCACAGTATATCATAATATATATTATTTCTTAAAGGGGAACTTCACCCATTTTTCAAAAATTCATGCATTTGATTCCTACGGTCTAAGACGGTCCAAAAATAGATAAAAAAAAAAGAAAATCTCTAACCCAAATCCAAAAACTAGAGTGCTAAAACTCAAATTTGTGATGTTATAGGATATAAAGTCTGGATCTGCTTCATTGACAGTAAATTGGGAAATATGTGCCAGATGATACCAGGGGAATGTCCTGAGTATATTGGTGCATTTTATGTGCTAGAGCTGAGACCACTACAGTAGAATAAAGCTCATTTGGGTCCACAAAATCAGGCTCCCATAAATTGTCTATGGAGCAGCTCCAGATTTTATACCCTATGATGACATCACAAGAGAGTAGCTCATGTTCAAAAATATTGGCCGAACTTTCATAGGACGTGTAAATAACACTGGAATTCCTAATTTATGTGGTGCTCGCCTTTCACTTGAGGGATCTCTTTATTTTCCTGTACATGCAGTGTTACAGTAAGGTGTAAAGATACAAACATGTTAGAGGGTAAATGCTTTCCCCCTGTTTTATGAGTTTTAGAGGTGTAACTGGATGTATATTAAAAAGGAGAGCAGTGAAGGAATATTTTGAAGCTGAAATGCTCAAAGTTGTGATATTTTATTTTGTGTGTCTGTAGAGTGAGGTTTGAGAAGATGATGCCCACTACTACTACCAGGAAGAGGAAGCTCTCCTCTCTGGACTCTGACAGGTGAGTTATGAACACATACAGAAATGTGTCCATAGCAGAGATTATGAAAAACCAGAGGCTTTATTGAAACCTGGTCTGATTTGTAATTTTGTTCACCTATTCTTTGATTAGATGGTTTCTGATTCAAGTTAACAGTAGCTAAATGTAGTCTCTATCATTCAACACTCTTTCTATGGTACTTCTTTGGTACTTGATCCAAATCTTGGGCATCATATTGACACTAGAATAGAAAAACTTCAGACACTATTCAGCCCCTAAAACAAACAGTTGCACATATTGACAACTGTGTACCCTCGTGTGAGCAATACACGTGTGTGTGTGTGTGTGTGTTTTAATTATTGTAATATTTGGATTCTGTCATTTTCCTTTATTCATATTTTTACATCAAAGTATTCTGGTGTTATCATTCATGGTTGCTTTTGTTTATTTTTTTACATTACTATCTATGCTGTGTACTTGTTGGCTTTAAATTTTATTTCACATTAGTGCACAGACTCAAGTTTCAATATGGTAATTTATTTAAATCTACCAAGCCGTTCTGTCTGGGGAAACTGAATGAAAGCTGTGTTGTATCGGTGGCACTTGTTATTTCTCATCTCTCACTGTGAGTGATCTTCTGTTATGTTACCTCCAGTAATCTGGCCAAGACCAGGGTGAGGGAGGAGATGTCTCCTGTGAAGAGGAGATCTCCCAAGAAGCCCCCACAGTCTCCGACCAAGAGGCCAGTCCGGCGTCTGCAGAAGGAGAACTATCCCTCTCCACAGAAATCCCCACGCAGACCAGCAGGTGGGGTTGACTAGTGGGAAGTAGCATGGTTTGGGTTGAATTTTTGGGTCAGCAGATGTGGCTTAAAAGTCGAAATTAATGCTCTGAGTTAGGACATGCTTTCTTCCTCCCCTTCCCCACGTACAGTTGCAATCAAAATTATTTAACCCCCATTGCATATTAGGTTTATTGGCAAAATGTACAATTTTTGAGCTGTTTGCAATAAACAAAGTAGACAAGAACAGTTGAAATAGTTTAATAAAACTAATATTACCATGGTTTTTATCCAAATTCAACACAAAATGCTACTTTTAACCACTACTGCAGTCTCAAAATTATTCAACCCCCTGTCTCAAGCACACCTGGTGCAACTAATCAAGGGCTTCATTAGTTCAGGTGTGCTTGAGACAGAACACATAAATACCTGGACTGGCAAGGGTTTTGTTGAGAGTGACGTTTGATTGCATATTAGAAATATGGCTAAGTCAAAAGAATTGTCCAAAAAGTTCAGAGAAGAAATCATTGCCTTGCACAAACAAGGAAAGGATACAAAAAGATAGCAAAAGCTCTGAATGTTCCTAGAGATACAGTTGGAAGCATAGTTCGCAAGTTCAAAGTTAAAGGAACAGCGGCTACACTACCTGGACGTGGCAGAAAGAGTAAACTATCAGCGGCTGCCACCAGATTCCTGAGGAGGCAAGTGTTCAAAAACTCTCAAGTGACTACAAAACACCTGCAGCAAGACTTGGTGGCAGCAGGCACTGAGGTTTCAGTTTGTACAATAAGGCGCATACTAAACTATTACTGAACTGGAGGCCATTGCCCATGAGGAATGGGATGAGATTCCTCAGGAACGCTGTCTGAAGCTGGTGTCTGGCTATGCATCACGTTTGCAGCAGGTCATAACAGCAAAAGGGTGCTCTACTAAGTACTGAAGATGCTAGTCATGAAGGGGTTGAATAATTTTGAGACTGCAGTAGTCATTAAAAGTAGCATTTTGTGTTGAATTTGGATCAAAACCCTTGTAATATTAGTTTCATTGAACTACTTAAACAGTTCTTGTGTAATTTGTTTATTGCAAACAGCTGAGAAATTGTATATTTTGCCACTAAGCCTAATACGCAATGGGGGTTGAATAAATTTGATTGCAACTGTATGTTCTCTCACACATACATCTGTATATCCACCTTTTGTTCTAGGCTCTCCAGCCAATTCACCTCGCAGATCTCCATTCAAGCCCTCGGTGGTTACAGGCTCCTTCTACGGCCAGAAGAAGCCCATCTATCTCACTCCACTGGAGAGGAAGGCGATAAAGGAGTCTCTGCCGCCTTCTCCTCGTCCTGCTCCATCCCCTCCTTCTCAAGAGAAAAAGAAGAATAACAGGAATGTTAAAGGAGGCAGCAAGCCGAGAAAGGCTGCAGGATCTAGTAATGCTGGGAAGACGAGTGTCAAATACAGCGGGACATTTACAAAGACGATCAAGCTGCCCAAACTTAACAGCAGGTGTGTTTCCATATAAGTCAGTGTCCAGTCAGAGCTGTTGATGCTTCTGCAGCCCATAAGTTTTTATATTTTTGTTAGAAGTCATATTTTTAGTTTTTAATCTTGTCTTTGCAATTGTTGCCTCATTTATTTCAGCAGTGTCCCCGCTAAACCGGCGTCCACTACAACCACTGCTCCCGCCGTCAGCGCTAAGCCAGCAGAGTCCAAGAAAGCGATCACCATCACGTTCAGCAGCCTGAAGCCCAAACCCAAGATCTTTGTGGGAGCTGCTTTCTTCGGTACAGGGAAGAAACCTACGTCCATGTACAAGAAAG